GGAAGGAGAGAGGGAAGTTGGAAGGAAGGAGGGAGGGAGAGAAGGAGGAAGGAAGAGGAAGGAAAGAAGGAAGGAGTCGGAACCCTGTCCAGGGTCCTCCACATCCTCCAGAGCCGACTCATAGGGCCCCTCGCTGTCGGAGTCTGGTGGCAGCTCCAACGGTTCCTGTTGGGCCACAACAGAAAGTGTACATCAAATAATGCATTCTGCTGATGTGGATATACATTTGCTTATATGAAGAATCTTTCTCTCTGTGTGTTCAGAGGATTGTTCTCTTTGGAGGTCAACTACTCAGGCTTATTCTTCTGACCTATTGTCCTACGTACTCTTCTTAGTAATGCCTGGGAGCTGATGTTTAGAAACAAATGCAGCATTTTCTATATTGAAAATATGCAGGGATATTATGTAGGAACATTTATTTCCTATCTAGGAAATCCAAAACAAAAGCTCAGGATTAATATCAATGACCTCAAGCTATTTCTGCCAATTTTTTGTGCTAGGAATAAAAGAAACTTGAATCTGCACATCTAGCAAATATATACTGTATCCTTCCAGCTCAAGGTTACTGCTTCCATGCTGAGTTCTAGTAATTCAATCTAGATTCTTGAATTTATTCTAACTCTTTTTAGATCCCAGAGTCATACTATAAATCTAACACCTTTCCTAACTACTTTGGACAAAATTCATTTTGCAGACTTAAGACAGGAACTTTTCTTTTTGCCTCAATCCATACCCAGTCCTGTTATCTTGACTGTGCCACATGGAAATGACGCATTTCTCTGCACTGCTTCAAGCTAGTTGAATCTAGAGTGATGCCTGTGGAAAACGTTCTTGTTGTCATGGCCCGTGCTTGCAGAAAGCTGTACAAGGGACAGTAAAGAATCCCTCATATTTGTAGTAGCCTTGTGTTAACATGTCTCATGACATATTGAGCAATGCTCTGTGAGAACAGTGCTTGGGAGGTTGGATGTTGGCAACAAACGTGGTCCGTAAGGGATCAGAACAGAACAGAATAACAGAGTTGGAAGAGATCTTGGAGGTCTTCTAGTCCAACCCACTGCTCAAGCAGGTAGTCCTATACCTGGGATGGGAACCTGTTCTGACCCCTCTCATTCCACATCAAAGCACACTCCAAGCCAAAGATACTTTACATAATTTATTAACAGACAGACAGATCCTTGGCAGCAAACCGGCACAGACAAGCTGGGCAGCAATTCAGCATAGATAACCATGGCAGCAATCCAGCCTGCCAAGCTCACAAAAAATGTTCTCCAACATTCGTTCCTGTGTTGACTTCTGCAAGAGGGACGTG